TTTGAAAGCTTCTCGAAGAACTTGGCCATTTTAAATTTTTATTATCGTTATAATTTTAGTCATGAATTTTTTAATAGAAAAACTTAGTTACACTACATAGGATTTAAAATTCCGATAGTCCATAATGATAAGTTCAAGAACAGATTGACAAGTGCATTTACTTTACTCCCAAGTTTGATGGTTCGACCAGTCAGAGAACAGTATCAGGTGTAACGTGAAATTAATTGAAAAAATCACATTAATCTCGAAATTGAGTTTCATTTTTCATGTGTTAAACCGGGTTTAATCGGTTTCAATATATTAAAAATAAAACTGGTTTCAAACTCTATCTCGAAATTTTTCCTAAGAACCATCTCTGCGAATTAACAAAAAAATTCCTTGCAAATTTTGGTATAATATTGCCCACTAAATCTATCGCTAACTAACTTTAACTAAGATGCCATAAAAGAATATGACATACAAATTTGCTCGAATTTCAGCCAATAGAAGCTTGGAGAAAATTAGTAAATTCCGAGAATCTCGATACTTAAATCTGAATAGTAAAGTCTAGATCCTAACAAAGTAACTTATCATTACCTTTATCTAGTCATATTAATCATATGATCAATAGTTATATAAGTGAGATTTTTTCCACTGGTATATAAGTTGTATGTCAAATTGAAATTTGCGCCAGATTAAATTTAAATACTGATTATTGGGATTAGGTAAACCCTGTGTTAGGGTAAGAGTAGGTATTAACCATTATAGTTATTTTGATCTAAGGTAAATTTTAATTTGACGTACAACATATACATAGTGATGAACTCGGTGTAATGGAGGTAACTGGCTGCTACATGGGCCAAGTTATCACCACCAAACTAAAACAACCACCAAGCAATATACCCAAGTAGTAGATTTGGCGTATCGGGTATACAGCAGGGATACAATGCACAACGTTTATACAAGGGCACGCTAACTGTTTTACTACTTTACAGAAGCAAAATCTAATCATATTTATAATGGATTACACGGAAAGAAAAGATCAAAAGACTTAGAATTTTGTCGTTATCCTATCACGCCATCTTCGCGATTATAATTGATGGCTTTCAATTATTGTTTTTATCCCACGATCAAAATAGCATTTTCGGTTCTTTCTCATGAAAGTCGCGTCGGAAAAGCAACACGGCCACAAATACGACCGGCTATGCGTCCATAATCCCGATCGTAGATCCATTAGACTAATTAAAATTTCCTATTCTAGAAAGTCATATCAGGACTTAAATTACTTCTAACAAGGCGGGCTTATTCATGGGTTCTCAGAGGTCTTGGGGCATTCTTGGTGATCTCTATGATGACGCGACATCTTGCGGATCGAGGTCTTGATCACGTTTTCGGGGTCACGTTACGTGAAATTTTCTGCGTTACGATTTTTCGCGTTTTCCTCTAACAATGGTTACACGAATGGAGCTCAAGAAACTGGTATCCATTGATTTCATTCAGGAATTCTAAAATTTTAATATTACCAACATACAATAGGATATCATAACAGATAATACTCTACCATGGTAAAGTACGGGCAATGAACATTTTAATTTATTTTGAAGAAAAATCGAGGTGCTGCGGGAATGATCGACCCGAACTTTGGAGTCGAATTCTCCGTTCAGAGCTTCATTGGCTCCATTCGTGGCTCCATCGGCTCCATCAGGATGGTGAATACTTCCATTCCATTTTATTCCGATATCAATTGACCGATCAAAACTTGCATTTGTCACTGGATGCAAGTTTTGATTGGTCAATTGATATCGGAATAAAATGAAGCGAAGTATTCTTCGTCCCTGGGCTCCATTGCCAACCCTGGATGACCAGAGTGATGGCTAGTGATGTAACCAAACCGACAGCTCCTTCATGTGCAGAATCTGAAACTATGGGATTTTAACGTCCCAAATCATTTTATTTACCGAATTTTATAAAATTATGAATATATTTTTGGTTTGGTAAAATCCAAATCCCAACGACAAATAGAAGGTCATTTACGAAATTTTTAAATCATCATCCAACGCATAGTGACGATATTGAAGCTACCATCAGATGAACTACGCTATTCAAAACAATCGAATATGTGCAATATTTTAAAGTAATAAATCTTGGCGTTAGAGCTGTGGCCTAGGGTGAGTGGTACAGCAGTCACGGGCATGTTACCATGGTATGCATAAAAGATAGTCAACAAACATAAATACGAGCAATGATTTCTGGAAATTTCGGGATGATAGATAGTCAACGAACATAAAATACGAGCAAGGATGTCGGTAAATTTCTGGATTTGTAAATTATCTGGTTGTTAGATAGGTTGATATGACATAGTATATAGCGTGCCAGGTAGCATCCTGACACGAAATTTATTAGGTGGTAAGCCAAATTTTTTAGCCGTGCCGCTAAGGAAATCTTTTTATTAGTGCGCAGAAGGTGGTTTCATTGACGGTTTTTTGAGTTTTTTTAAAAAAAGTGATTTTCACGTTACACGATCTGGAGGTCATTATTAAAAGAGATCTGATTGGTGCATCTTTCACGGTCACAATATTAACGGTATTACATAATCATTTAACGTTAACGTTAAAGGTGTTATCTACTTAATACAGTATTAATGTCTGAGTCTAACGAAAATTGTCGAGATATGTAGCAAAGATTCGTAGGCCCCGTGGTTACTGTCCAATCTAATTATAAGATCATAGTATAATATACAAATGAAGAAAAACAGATCACGAATAACATAAATTCATTATTGCACCTAAGCTTTCACTCATTAAAAATCTTGCTTTAGTATTATCATTTTTGGATCAATTACAAACTTGTATTACCGTTTACCACTGTATGTAGTAATATCCTACCATGTAAGGTATCCTTCTCCACCAATAAAAGCGTTCGATTCGTGAATAGTAACCGGTACTAAAAATCAATTCAAAAAATTTGGGTTTGGCATTCTCGATATTATTTATTACTGTATGTAAATTTTACCAAGCATTTCTAAAAGAAAAAATACATTCCAATATACAGTAAAGATTACTACGTATTAGAATGAAGTTTACAAAATAACTACATATATTAATTAATAATATAGTCTAAATGACAAATTTTGTAATTCAGTTGGCATTAATAATAGGGGTAATCGTTTTACGTATGTACTACATAAAAATAATACAAAAAAACTATTAATACGTACGTATGTACATACCTGATACGTACGTACGTACAGTACATGCCTGATACGTGCGTACGTATATACATGCGTATATGTAATAAAAATAACAGTTCAACTTTTACTCTACCTTTTAAGGGCAAAAAAATGGCAAACCTTTATGTCCCATCGTCACTAACGATCGATTGTCTTGAAGAAATAATTCATCATTTAGTGGATCATCGTTCATCACTATTCTCATGTTTATTGGTAAATAGATTATGGTGTAAACTAGCGATAGGATTACTATGGAGTAGACCATTTGAATATCATATTAATGTTAAAAGATTTTCTATGATCATTAAAACTTATATTTCATGTCTTCCCATCGCTGAGAAGCAAATGCTTAGATCTAAAAACAAAAGAATTTTACCGGAAATACCTGCAGAAAGAACTCTTGATATAATGGATCAGAAAAAAGTATATTCAAATAAGGATCATTTATTATTCAATTATCCGAAATATTTACGAATATTAGATTTATCAAATTTTCAGAATGGGGTAAAGCAATATCTTACCACAGTCAACATCGAAAGTTATCAATTAGTATCTTATACTGTTCAAATATTAGTAAACTTTTTAATTCAATCCACAGACACTCTCCATCATTTAGTAATAAATAGTCCTATAATGCGGTTATTCTTTGACATTACTTTACTTCCAAACATTGATAAAATAAATCAAAAACTTTCTTCAATTTCAAAAATAGATTTATTCCTTCAAAGAAAAGATACACCAGAAACTCATCAAGGATATATAAAACTTGTTTCTCATATATCCAAACATTCCAGAAATTTAAACAAAATTTCTATTGTTAATGATTTTCAAGATTGTCAACCAGAAATTTTACGCCATATATTTAGATTAATTGAAATTCAAAATTATCTTGAAGAAATTACTATTTGGGAATTTCAAAATCCTTCAACTTGTCAATGGATTTATACTGCTTTAAAAACTCAATCTCATTCTTTAAAATATCTTGGAATTAAAAGGTTTAGAAATTTTTCAATTTTTTTAGATTTTTTAAAATCTTGTAAATCTTTAAAATCTTTAGAAATTTTAGATTTTTTTGTTGAAGATGGTTATACACCTTTTTATATTCCTTTCAATTCTACAGTTTCTGAAGAAATAAAATTAGAAAAATTTTCTTGTTGTGAGAATTATTCAAAATCTTCGGTGTTTAGTTTAACAATGACAATAATTATTCGTATGGCAAATAAGAATTTAAGAGAACTTATATTAGGGGATTCTACTGATGAATTAATAGAAGAAATTCAACAAAATTGTCCAAATATTATAAAGCTTTCTTTAACTTTATATACTACTTCTTTTGAAAAACTTCTTCCTTTATTATCTTCTTCAAAACTTGAATTTCTCTATTTAGAATCAAAATTTGATAGTTCTGCATTAACTCCTAATTTTATGCAAAAATTAGCCATATCACTTCCGAAAACTCTTTTACATTTGGGAATGGATCTTGGAATTGTTAATGAAGGATTACGATTATTTTTTGAAGAATATGGAAATTGTGGTGTTGCTTTATATACTATAGAATTATATAATTATTTATTAGATGATAGAGTTTTAGAATCTATCACTAAATATGCGAGAAAAGTTGGTGGTTTGAAAAGGTTAAAGATCAGTGAAGTAAATACTAATATTTCGGAAAAAGGTTTGCAAGAAGCAAAAGATGTTATTTCAAGTGTTGTATTATTATAATCATTTAAATATGAAATTTACTTGTTAAATAAGATAAAATATTATTTATTTTATAAATTTGTATAATAACAATTTTTTAATTTATTTGATATCTTGATTTTTTTTATTAATAATAACCAAATTTTGTTATATCCGCTTTTTTAGAAATACTTATTTGCTTGTCACACAATAAAATAATCATACATAAATTAATGACTTTTACAATTTGATCCAAATTTTGAAATGTCGGGGTTTTCCTTCAATCTATTAAAAATTACTGATCCACAATTTCGTTTGGGCAGATTGATTTTTTCAAGAAATAAACATGAAAAAATATTGGATACTCCAAATTGTTTCGTATATACAATGAGAGGCTCCGTACCACATTTAACTCCTGATAATTTACAAACTATTCCGGTTGATGCATTGGGGATAACTCTGGAACATTTGTATACATCAACTTTATTTTTTTTTCTTTGAAAATAAAGAAATCTCATTTTATATCTCATTGTATTTATTTTATCTTAAACATTTAGTCTTGAGGCACAACCTCCATCTTCAACTCATTTTGTGGGTGGAATACATAAATTTTTGAATCTTGAAGATTATTTATTGTTTTTTGATGTTCGAGACTCTGGAAAATTACAAATTATTTCATTCAATACTGATAAATTTGTTTCCGTTGTTACTAATCAAGGATGTCGTAAAGTAAAATTTATTTATTTAGTTTTTTTTTTTTGGCGGACGATTAATTTGTTTTATTAATAACGAATAATGAAAACAACTTTTTTTTAAAGGTTACTACTGAAGAATATGTAAGATACATGAATATATATAATCCTGATATATTTGCTAGCATGGCGGATTTAATACCTGTCAAGAATCCAAGTTTGAAAAGGGTTAAGAAATCCGTCGATAGAACATTAAATTGGTTAGATGAAACCTTGGAACAAACAAAAGTATATTGATAAAATATTTCGCATTTTAACTTGTTAAATATAAATTAATAACTAATGACGTACGTGGTAATAATTAAAAGGAAGGGATCCATGTATTTGGTGTTGTAACTGGACATGATAAACATGAAGAACGTGTGAGATCAGCTCAAGAGACTGCAAATAGAAATGTAGCCGGTGAGCAATATCCACATCAATTTAGTATTTTAAAAATTTTATATAAATCACTAATCATTAATTGTCATTCTTATAATATAGGCTTTGTGTTAAATGGATTGGATCTAGACATGACTTCAAAAGAACGTTTAGATTTAATGAAAATCTCACTCAAACATCTACCAAAAAATAAGCCTCGTGTAGCATACGGACTTGGGGCTCCAGGTTTGACCATAGTTAATACCTATATCAAATTCATAAATAATAATATATATTTTCATCAATAATTTTGATTTTTTTTTTTTTTTTTTTTTTTTTTTTTTTTTTTTAGAATACGTTCTTCTTGGTATTTTCGAGGGAATTGATATATTTGATACAAGTTATCCTTCAGAAGAGACATCTTTAGGACATGGACTCACATTTTTGATACTTGAAGATGGAATTCAAAATGAACAAGAAAAATTCATAAATCTTTGGGATAATAAATATAGAACAGATTTTAGACCAATTTTAGATGGATGTAAATGTTATGCATGCCAGAATCATACAAGGGCATATATCCATCATTTACTAGATACTCATGAGATGCTTGCTACTGTATTATTAATGAGGTTTGTGAAATTTTTGTTTAATTAAAATAATTTTATTTTGCAAACTTTATTAATAAATATTTTTATTTTCTATTAATAGTCATAATTTATTCCATTATTTGCAATTCTTTAAAGACATTAGAAAGTCTATAGATAATAATACGTTTACAAATATTGCTAAGCGATTTATTAGTATGTATGGCAATGATATTAAAATGAATAAAGCGGAAATAAAGAATTTCTTATTTTAAAAATTTTTTTAAAAATTTTTTTAGGGACATCAAATATTGCAATTGATAAAATCAGCCTAATTTTTAATTGATTATATTCTTTAATTAATAAATATTATATATGTATTAAATTCAACGATGTTGTCGGCGTCGTATATACACGATAATCTTCTCCCTCGAACACGCTCAGGATGTCAGATCAACGTATAAACGAATATCAAAACTAAAATGCTTATTTCTTTGTCTTTAGTATTCTATTCAAAAAATATTCATTGTAAGTTTTACTATAGACGAGCAATGTCTTTGATAGATTCTATAAAAGTTCGTTCTAAATGGTCTTATAAATATTTCTAATTGACAAATTACAATTGGTGCTAATTATAAGTAACTTTACAAAGTCTCTCAATATCGACTCTCACGTTTATTGTTGCTTAATGGCATCTGGGTGTAACTCGCACTATATTATACCTAATAATTTCAACATAAAATTTTCATAGTCTTTCACACAATTGTAACGAAAAGTCTTGAAAAAAAAAGTATGAATTTCTTTTTTATAATCTAAAAAAAAATTTGAGCAAATCTTATCTAAATTTAGGTGCGAACAAATAAAAGAATGTGGATCAAATCATCTAAAAGGTATTTTCAACAATCTTAATTATGGGTTCACTAGTTAACTCATGTTGCAGTACCACGAATGTCATACGGGAGATGTGGACACATTCTATTATACTCAATAATATTCCTTCGCACGAAGTTCACACATGCAGAAAATACGAGATTAATAATCATGTTCGTGATAAATATAGTATGAATTATCTTGAAAAAAAAAAAGTATAAAGAGATAACTAATTTTTACAGTAGTATTCCTCTATTCTTTAATTCTAATAATAGAGTTCATTCAATTAACCAATTTTCCTATATTTTTCCGCCTTAGCTTGATTTTTTAAATTTTTTCATGATATGTGAACGTATCTAATCAAGATGTTAAGTACCAGGGCAAAAGTATCTCCAATATTTACCACTTAAGAGATTTTATAAACGATTTTTTATTTAATATACAGTATATAAATTATAATACTTATTAAATAATATAAAATATATATGTTTAATTTAACTGCTGAGGAATTGCTCCAACATGTTTCTTCTACTACCATCAATAAATAATCATCGCAAAAATTGATCAAAAATACTACCTAAGGATGTTCTCCAATCAATATACCAGTGTTAATACTAAATTCATTCGACAAACCATTACCAGAACCTGGACTACTTGGGTTAAGGACGGATTATGAGTTAGGATCAAATGATGTAACATATTTATATTCAGAATTACTAATATCGTAAAGCCTACAAAAGTGGTTATTAACAGTAGATATAAATGATGTAAAAAAAACCAGTAATAAAGCTCCATATTCTATGCTGTAAATAACGGTCATATAATTTCCGATCACGTTAGCAATATGAAACGATGGTATAGGTGGTATGATACAAGAAACATTTGGTGTAATCCATTTGACATCTAACACAGATAGTAGACAACTGTACTTTGCGCATATCTTCTATAAACGATACTGCAATCATTATTAAATCTAAACAAATACACATAGATCTAGTGTATTTGGTGATGCATAATATATCTGATTGTAATCTGAAAAAAAAAGGCATTGGATATTATCTCAACGTGCTAACACAGGTTGAATCAATGAATATCGGGTGCATATCGGGAGAAAAGTTTCCCGATATGTACCCGATAGTTTTCTGAATATCGGCAGCATATTGGTAAGATATCGGGAGGTAGATCGATATCAGCAACTAACAGCAAATTATTGGGATACCCCGATATCTTACTTTTATGCCCAGAGTGTTAAGAGAAAGATATCAGGGTATCCAATGTCGTGCTGTTATGTTATCGATATCGATCTACCTCCTGATATCTTACAAATATGCTGCTGATATTCAGCGAGTGTTTGGCGGATCTATGGCAAAATTAAAATTTAACTGTGAATTTAATGCCATTTACAATACTATCCATTATTTTTTTTTGTGACATATAAAATAATAAATATACCTATAAATTTCCAAACAATTTAGAAACGTTGATAAAAAAAGTAATTAATCAAATATCATACCTCTTTAAATTTGCAGGTGAATTAATACTATATCCACCATGTTGTAAACAATAATACCACTTGACAACAGAGTAGCAGTAAATCCATCTCTCTGTGTGGAAGCTTGGACTTGAGATTCCTTTAACCATGTTAATGTAATCGTATCTATATACAAAGTATATCCCCAGAATTTTCTGTATTGCTATATCCCCTGAATAATAGGAATATTCAACATATTTTTTATACAGTAGTATTGTATGAGTAAACCAGTGTTGGCATTGGACTAATTAAATAATATAGACAAAATATGGACATAGTCATTTTTAATTGGACATATGCACTATGTTACTCGGAGTACTCACATGGCCGTTATTTTAGACAACAATAAAATTTCACCTAAACGCAAGCTATATCTAATTATTAGTTGAAACCCTTATATGTTGTGCGCGTTATTTCGAGACGTGCATGGGCGTTATTTTGAAACCATGCATGCTATTTTTAGGGGTATGATTTTCTAAATAACGCCCATGCCCGTTATTTCGCGAAAATACGGTATATATATATATAGCCAATTGAACCAGAATTAAATATAAAAACTCAATTAATCTAGAATTAAATATAAGAGAATTACAAATCAAACTAGAAAAATATAGAACGAATCTATTTGTCACTGGTAGTGACAGTCGTCGAATTGCAATTGTTCAATTATATTGCGCATGAAGTGAAGAAAACGCTAAAATTTGCGATAGCTCAAAATTTTGCTTATGAACCAACTTTTATACAGTATTCTAGTTAAAAAAATTCCTTGCAAAATTTTACTACATCCTCTCCTAACCCTAACCCTGATCCTAATGATAATTAACCTTAGGGTTTGTTTTGACTTCATTACATGGTCAATTGCAATCGGCGACAACTAGATTATTCCAAAATATAACTGTATTATCTATATTATCTATGACAGGGTAAAAGCCGCGCTGGATTTTTGTCACATGGGGTGAAATCCGCAATTATACTGCCACGTGACTTATCTACAGCAACGGTCAACATAGTGAAATGACAAATTTGAGCGAAGATATCACAACAACCACTAAGCCAAATTCAATGAATCTTTTTTATTTGAATTCTATTGGTAGAATTCGAAAAGAAAAAAAAGTTGGCTTGATAATTGTCGTGATTCTTCGCTCGCTCAAAGCTTGACAAAATTCATCAAAATAAAGGTACAAATTTTTTCTAAATTTGAACGAAGATATCCCGACAGCCATCAAGTCAAATTAGATAAACTTTTTTTATTTGAAATCTACGATTTATAGAATTTGTTTGTCGAATTTGGCTTGAAGATTGTCGAGATATCTCTGTTCAATGTTTGACAAAATTCAAAAACGTCTCAAAATAGAAGCTGTACTAATATTTTTTAAAATTTGAACGAAGATACCCAACAATCACCAAGACAAATTCAATGAACTTTTTTATAAATTCGTAGAACTCAAATAAAAAAAAGTTCATCGAATTTGACTTGGTAGTTGTAGAGATATCTTCGCCTGAATTGGTCATTTCACTATGCGATTGTAGCTGTGCTGAAAAAGACGTGATTGCTATGTTAGTATAATCCCCAGTTAATACATAAAAAAACGCCATGCCAACGCGGATTTCATCCTATCTGTGATCAAAGCGAATTTTACTAAAATTCAGTACGGGTTCATCCTATATATATAGTTTTGATTTACATAGCATATCGTGCATCCCATTGTGATATGCCCTATCAGAGTTAAAGGTGAAACGGGATAGGACTGTTTACCACAGTACTATTACGTGATGCTCCGAAAAAAATATTGTTGAAAAAATGTCTTGAATTTTATGATACACCATACCTGATTTTAATTGGCATTAATCATGTGACAGTAAAATCGCCAGCATAGTATGTTTTGTACAAGATGGTTCACGCGCTTTACACAATTATAATCAATTTTCGTATACCATCCAACCAAGTTGCTGAATATACATAACCAAATCCTCTTTTGTCAATTTCTTTTAGATACCGTATAAAAGCCCACCTACGCGTTATTTCAAAATAAGGGTAGATTTTCTAAATACAATACAGTCAACCTTCCATAACTACATTTATAGAATATTCATTTATGGAGCATAACCTACATTTAACGATACTACTGAATAATTACATTAACCGATCAAATTATGAGCACTTATCATTATAGGAAAATGCACTTATAGAGAGTGCACATATGGAGTGTCGACTGTATATCATTTATCGCACAATAAATTATGTGCTACACTAGGATGCACGTTAATTCGGGACGCCCATGAGCGCTAATGTCGAGAACATAAGTTATTCTTGAAGGATCCGATTGCTGAGATTCTCTGACGCAATCATTAATATTCTTATTTTGCTTGTCGGGATCACATGCCAAACACCATGCTTTAAACATGTTGTCTTTATTACAATGTATACTTTTGCCGTATTTAGGTTATCATTTTAATCATCGTCAAATATTATATATATTTTTTATATTATTAAAAATTTATTGTAATACTCACCTAATCGAATAAAATAGTAATCTGAAGGGTATTAGTTAGTAGTAAATAAGTGTTCGTAAACATGAATCACTTTTTTAATCTACCGATTAATAGATCATCTACAGTATATACTTGCCCACTAAATTAAGGTTCATGACGACATATGGTATTCATACGGCATACGGTATTCATACGACATACAACACTTATACGGCATTTATACGGCATACAACACTCCTACTTATACGGCAAATATGCCATATCGCCATGATATTTTTGCTGGGGTAGCTATCTCCAAATTCTAAATGTTTGCACCTCTAGTAGTTACCACATAAAATTAGAGCTAAATTTAAAATTGAGATGCGTAAGATCTATTTAACTATATATATAGTAATAAACGGCGGCGTTTCATAGGACTGAAACCTTATGTATTAGGCTCTGATTTTTTTTCGTTCAAAAAAAAAAACATAAAGTTAATGCAATATATTATATTATCAATTATATAATACAGTATGACAAAAACTTAATCGTTGATATACAAATAATAGCGATAGAATGTGTTAATTTAAGTATATATATTTTTAAAATTTTACATATTTGTACGTATGCAAACAGACATAAACTTAATTTATAATTCATAAATAATAAGAACAGCAAGCTAATCTTTGTTATCTACATGGACTTTCTTCTATTCTTACAGTATATTATAAATAGTAAGACATTACATTAAGTATAATGAGGGGTTCAAAATTAAAATCAGAGAATCTTATTTTATTTTTCCGATTTATAATTCAATATAGTAAAAATACTATTGAAAAAATCCTACTTATTTTCGAAATGCGCCACTCATTTGTTAATTTTGAAACCCCTAATGTCGGTGTTTTCCAATTTTTGAATACATAAATTATTAAAATATGTTAACTATTTGAGAACATTCAAAAAATTTTTAATATTAAAAGATTTTAATTTTTCTATATAAGAACATTAAACTTTATGAGAACATAAACTAAATTTGAATTATAAACACTGGTTCCAACAGAAAAATCTCGTGAAAATTTTAATACCGCTGTTAAACGAGAATCTGTCAGTCAATCGTTCCGCAGCAATCGGGTTTGAATAACGACCCACAGAATCCGGGGACGAAAGAGTCGTTTTAGATTTGGTGAATGGTTAAATGAACGAATGTAGTTTATAATATATGTGACTTCAATACTTTATTATTTGGTAAAGCCGGTGCTGCCCTTCCCGAAGGGCCTTTATTTATAATTATGAATTCAGCTATTTACATTTGCAAGAATTATCTATATTATTAAATTCCTCAATAAACCACAAATTGACATCATAGCCAAGAACACCAACATTATTAGAACCCATCATATTACCGAAATTATCCCAATTGCCATTATTCGCTTCTGACTTTTCTGGGATTTCTGGCGTCCGGATTTGGAAATACCATGCTTCAGGTCACGTTTCCGAACTCGCACCGTATTTTCGCGTAATAACTCTCGTGAGCGTTATTTTGAAAATCGTGCCCCCCAAAATAATATATATAGTTTCAAAATAACGCTCATGCGCGTTCCAAAATAGTGCGCACCCCATAGTAAGAGATGTTTATTTGTAGTAAGATTTAAAAACATTTGGAACTGGATTTAATACTAAGTAAACTTTCGAACTTTAACAAAAGTTGTGTTTCAGATTAACTTTTGTTAAAGCTCGAAGGAAGGTTTACTTAGTCTAAATCTATATTTTTGTCTGTTTACTTTTTATACAAGAATAACAAAATTTTTAATTGTCTCAAAATAACGCTCATGCGCGTACTCGAAATTAACGCGCATTACGCGAAAATATGGTATATTATACAACCAAAAGTTACATTCTAATCCTAAAGAGTTGTTAGAATAATTTTAGCACTAACCATAAATAGCTGTTAGAATAATTATTTAACACTAACCATAAAGAGCTATTAGAACTAGTAATAAACGGCGGCGTTTCATTGGGCTGGAGCCTTATGTATTAGGTTCTGAATTTTTTTTTGCTAAAAAACAAACATATAGTTAGTGCTGTAAATTATATTATTATCAAAATTATATAATATGGAAAACTTAATCGTTGATATGTAAATAATAGAATGTGTATATATTTTTATGTTTATATTCACATTGGGCATCCATAATTTACGCTAAACCATTATTGTTATAGGGATCTTAAAGATAATACAAAAATAATACTATATGGCATTATCTTCAAGGTCTCTGTTACTATACAATACAGTACTGTTTAACGTAAATTATGGATACCCCCATTGCTGTACGCTACTGATCTACTTCTATATCTCGTGTATTATGCAAAGGAAACGTAGATTGTTCACCTCTATCCCATGGAATATTGAAGAATCTGCAAATTTCTCCGTCATTACAATTGATTACATATTGTAAAAAAAAAATGTTTAACTCTAACACGTTGCTTAATAATGAGTCTAATAAATAAAAAAAAGGTCATTCAAATATAATCAAATATATTGAATTTAATAAATATGTATTATGTATTATTATCATTGGTACATTATTTTTAGTCTCATTCATTTTTCAAGAGATGAAAATTGAAAAATAGCATACCGTAAAGTGCCGACTATGATTGTACCCAGGGGCAATTCATATTATATCTCGAAGAAAATGCCCAGTTGGTGTAAAACATTGAAGACTGGCAAAGTCGTATGAAAAGGTACGTTTCAATTATTTGTAAAGACCTTGTTACGTCAATTGACAGTCAACAAAAATTGAAAAATGGCGCGTACATATACGTATTGAAATGATCCACTTGTAAATTACTGTATTTGACGTCCACATAATTATCTGCTTTGACATCTTTTTATTATACAAATAATATTACGTTTTTACCTTATATAATCTTTGTTATTTATTTGTTGCCATGTTGAATCACTTTCTCATTAATACTGCATTTTGCCGTTTAAGCCGTCTTACTGTTCTTCAGGTATCATTAAAGCTAATCTTTTTCTTCTATCATCATTTCTTGCAACCATTGTTCAGGCATATAAATTCTTTTTTGCATTTTTGGAAGACTTTAATACAATAAATTATTAATTAGTCTACTTTTTTTGTGATAGACCAAAAAATCATCATTAGTATTGCAGGGGTGGGAGTCGGACATCGCCTCAATTTAGTACAGCATGGAAATGTCTTCCACGCTCCAGCTCAACTAATTTGTGTCAAATTAAAATCAAAGCTTTATATTGAAACAGAAAAATAGTAAATATATGCCTATAATTTAAATAATTGCACCCGATCTTACATTTGATTTTGTATGCACATATTGTATTGCCAAAATGGAACCTTATTTAATGTCAGATTTCTTGCAACAACATCGGCTGGTAATCCTATGAGTACATCAGTATTCTGATTTCGTGCTGCTTCTCTAACAGAAATACGTATGACGTTAAGAATATGGCCTAATTCCGGGTATTACCGTTGGCCACTGCATATATTACTCAACGATCTCATTGGCGAGGTACTTTATTGGGTAGAGTACCCATTTTCGGGGATACTGTATGTATACATGGGTGTCTAAATTGCCCAACTTAATAAAAAAGTAATTACGGCATTTAGGCTGCCGAAATCAATCTTATATAGTGCCGAAATTAATTTTCATATTTGCGAAATTATTTCCGAAATTTTTTGAACTCTTTTCATCAAAATACATCATATAATATAGTTATTTCGAAGTGGGTTCATATAAAAATTTAGCAATGCCGAAATTTTTGCCAAAAATATGATTTTTCAAAAATAATTTAGACACCC